CGACATACTGCTGAGTCGTCCCTAGGTCTGGGAACCTCTCCCTGTCCCTTTGGGAAGTAGAGAGGAAAGAGAAGCCTCAAACGGGTTCCCTCTTTTATAAAGGGCTTGTTACAGTCGACCAGGTAACCACCAGAAGTCTGCAGCTGCATGGGTGGATAAGAAAAAGCCTTGAGGGCTGAGAGGGTGTCCTAGGTTCCTACCTGAGCAGGAAGGAGGAGAGCACGAGACACAGCCTCAAAGTCGTCATTGTGGCTTTGTCTTTGATGCGGTCCCTCCACATGCCTGACAGTGAGTGAAGGCACACTGTGTGCGCAAATGCATTTACGCACAAACACACGCACAGCTAACACCAGAAATCAAAGGGATCTCTAGCCAAACACATTTCTCCACGTGTTGGGTTACTCCACTCTTAGACACAGCTCAGCTTTCTTGTCTTCTCGTACACATGCCTCTCCTCACCCCTGCACACCTCACAGGGTCTGCACTCCAGACAGGGTCTCTCATTGGCCCTGGTCTCATTGATTTGGAAGCCTAAGGGGTCTGCCCTCCTCTGTCTACCCAGCACCGGGATTCCAAACATGTGCCATTACACCTGGCTTTTTTTTTAAATCTATTTTTTAAGATTTATTTATTTTATTTTTTAAATGTGTATGGCTGTTTTTATTTTAATGTGTATTGCCTGCATGTGTATCTATACATATGTGTGCCTGGTGCCGAGGGAGACCAGAAGAGTGCATCAGATCCTTTAAAACTAGAGTTACAGGTGGTTGATGGTTTTTAGTGGCGCTCTCACCCTGCGAGGAAAGTCATGAAACACAACAGAATCCACTAGCAAGAGTTTTATTAAGATAGGGAGAACAAGACAGATGTGATCAGGCCTACTGAAAGGACACATGTGGGAGAAGGCGGGGGATAACCCATGGGACCTATCATTTTAAGGGCCACCCCGCACATGCGCACACAGGCCCACATGGCTACTCCACGCATGCCCACAGGTCATGTGGTCACACCACATGTGCGATTATGTGATCACGCTGCGCCTGGGTTATGTAGGACATATGACCTGGAAATGACTAAGTGTCCTGTCGGGGCATGCAGGACCATAGGGGCGTGGCTGGAATTCCTATCAGTGGCTGGGAGCTGCCATGTTCCAGGTGTCCCGACACCTTTTCCTGGCTTCTGTGGAAACCACATGCACATGGTGCACATACATGCACTCAGAAACACACACAGATACATAAAATGATTAAGTAATTCTTTTCTTAAGAACAAAAAACAAAAACAAAAACAAAAACATTGCGTGGCCCTTCTTTTCCTTCAACTAAAGACCAGCCCCATCCAGACTAGAGTTACTGATTCATACAGACCTGGGAAGGACAGAGGGACATGACATCTTGATACAACAAACCCAAGAGCAGAGTGAGGTAAGCCAGCAAATTGTCAAAGTCGCTGAGATCAGTGCCCTTGGCTTCTGTGGTATAAGTGGACAGAGAACCCACTTGATTCCAAGGGCCTCTGCTGAGGCGCCCTGGACTGACTCCATTTCATACCTGTGGTCCCTAAAACACAGAGATAGACGGCCATAAACTTGCGTGGGATCGCAAAACTGGGTGCCAGGGGACTCTGTCCTCCAACTGGGGAGATCTCACTGTTTTGACGGTCACATAAGCCCTCACCGGCGTCAGGGCCCCCACCCTCTTCCAAGACGACACCTTCCATCCTGAGGAGATTCTGGCCCCCTTCCTTCTTCCTGCAGCCTCGAGGTTCTGAAAGGACTCCAACACTTCAAGGGCTTGTGTAAGTCTGCTGTGGCCACTGCTGCCATCTTCAGACCAGCCCGGCACCCCCGGAGGAGGAGTCTCTTCAAGAACTCACTAACTAAGGGAAGACTTTCTCCACTGAGTGGATTTATTTTCTTCCCTCCCGAGGTGCAAGCCGTATGGGTCAGAATAACTTACTCCATTCTGCTGAAGAGGAATTACGCCTGGACGGCTCCCCGAAGGACAATCGCGGCCCCAGTCCATATGTAAAGCAGCCTCGGGAGCTCTGCTCCGCAGCTGCGCCCTATTATCACGACGGCGGCCGGCTGCCTTCGTCTTTAACTGTAAACGCTCCTGACAGCTCCAGTGGAGATAATTACGATGCTTCAGGGAACTTTCGGCCTTGCTAAAAATACTGCGCAACAGTTTGAGGCGAGGAAGATGCTTAGGCGTGATCTGGTAAAAACTCCCGGAGCTGGCGGCTGCAAGTTATGGGTGGGAACCGCTTGGCTGCCTGGCCGCTGCCATTTTCATCCATCGAAACCGGTTCTCAGTCTCACAGCTGGTCCTGGTCCTGGTCCTGCCCGACAGGAAAGAACAGAAAGGAGCGGAAACTAGTGAGTTTCATGGCTGACAGAGGACTGAGAGAGGTCAATCCCATGGGCTTCTCTTGGGGACACAGTTCAACTCAAGCTCCCAGGGTTCTGGAGGCTGAGACCAGGCCACTGGACTGCAGAAGTGTCCAGTGCCAGGATATCTGCCAGCTGCAATCTCTCCCTGCCCCCAACAGCTGAGACGGGGAGAGAGGGAAAAATGAAGACAAACTGGCCCTCAAGCCGCCATGTGGGGGAATGTCTTCCACACACCTGTACTTGATTTACTTTTACAGGAAAGGGAGGCATACTCTTGAGCACACTCTGTGCCAGCTGGTGGCCCTCACTTTAATCCTAGTATTGAAGAGGCAAAGACAGGAGAGTCACAGGGGGCTCACTGGCCAGCCAGTCTAGCTAAACCCATGAGCTCTGGATTCAGTGAGAGATCCTGTCTCATAACAATAATAATAATAATAATAATAATAATAATAATAATAATAATAATAATAATAATAAAATGGAGAGCCCTTGAAAAAGGTACTCAGCATCAACCTGTGACCTCAACATTCTCGCATGCATGCACACCAACACACACACACAATGTGCACACATACTCATAAAAGGAATGGGGTAGGGGAAAAGAAATAAGCGGTTTGTTTCCTTGCTTGTTAAGGTGGACTACAAGGAAGACAGAGAGTTGAATGTGACACTCAGCAGTGTGCATGACATTGGCAGTCTGGACAAGATCTGTGCTGTTGCAATGGCTGGGGCATCAAAGGAGGTACAGTCAAGGGATGGAGGAGGGAAACATTGGGGGGGGACACCTTTCTGAAGGACAAAGCAGAGGAGAGCAAAGAAAAAGAGGTAGCCTGGGTACCTCAAAAGCCAACTCTTTGCCCAACATTTGCATGGCTCAGCCAGCAGAAGAGGAAAAAGGAACAGGAGGACACGGGGCAGCCTGTGGGATGAACATCCTCCCATAGCTGATGGAGAGGAAGGCTGACTGTCCATCAGAGTGGAGAAACTCATTCCAACCATGGAATGGGCCCTCTGCAAGTTTGTAGATGTGGGGCTTGGAGCGTCAAAGGTCCTTTTCTTACTGCTTCTGATTTTCTCCTTGAGCAGGAAAGCAGGTGGCTTCGGGAACCAAGAAGGGGCTTCTGGGCTGCCCTGAGGATCCATCAAAGAGAACGATCAGAAAGGTAGGTAGCTAAGACTCGTGGGCAAGTGGTGTGTTTCTGTCAGCAGCTGGATACAGGAGTGAGGCAGATGAATAGTTGGGGTGGCTTGTGTCGGCTCGGAGGGCTGCTGGGGACCATGGCGTTGAAGCATGGAAAGGAAAGAAGGGACTGAAAATCAGCTGTCCTCCCCGCCAGGATGGGAGACTGACAGAGAGGTCTTAATAGAATGTAGCACCGAAGGATAACTGGAGGGCTAGGAATGTAGTACAGGTGGGGGTGTGTTTGCTGGGTACTCGCAAAGCCCTGGGTTTAATCCCAGCCCTACATAAATCAGGGTGCTGGCACCTATAATCCTAGCACTTGGAAGGCAGAGGTAGAAAGGACAGAAAATCAGCTACTTAGAGAGTTCAAGGGTAGCCATGGCTACATGAGACCCTATCTTGATAAAACGAAGCAAAACAAACAGAAAAGGCCTTGCTGGAGCTGAAGAACAGGGAGCTAAGCCGGTGAGATTGGAGGCAGGATCAGTGAGGGAGAAAGTGATGGGCAGTCCAGAAAAACATCTGCAACACCGTCCTCATCATGGGTCCTTCAGAATGTCTCAGCATTAAAGGCCAGTGTCAGACCTGGAGAGATAGCTCAGCGGCTATGAGCTGTTGCTGCTCTTACAGAAGATCTGCGTTTACCCAGGACCTACCCATATCAGGTGGCTCACAGTCATCTCTAACTCCAGCTTCAGGTGGCTCTGACATTCTCTTCTGGCTTCTTTGGTAACTGCAGTCACATGAACACACACACACACACACACACACACACACACACACACACACACACACCAAATAAATTTTAAAGAGAAATGCTAGCATTAATGACAGAGGGCCATGACCATGGTTTGAAAGCACAGATGTGAACATGGTCAGCCCATGAGCTTGGTCAGCTATGAGTTTGGTCATTGGCGAATGTGGTCAGCCGTAAGTGTGGTCAGTGGTGGGCATTGGCAACTGGGAGTATGGTTGGTGTGATCACTGTCAATGGTGATCACTGTCAGTGTCTGCAGGTCTAATAATATCCAATGAAACCTCCAGATAGCAAAGCTGGGTCTTTTTGATACTTTTGGGTTTTTTTCTGGGGAAGACACAAAGGCTGGCAACAGTCTGTGTGCATTGGCTGTGGCTGTCCACTTGACTCTATGGAGTGCTTGACTCTCTTGGACCTGCCAAAGCATCTCTCTCATCTGCTGCCTTTGCTCTGACTCTCCCACATCAGTAAACTATCACCACTAATGTAAAAGCTTGCTGAATTCTGAGAGTCTTCCTAGTGGCAATCTCCTCCTCAGGGTAGTCTTGAGGATTGTGGTTAAGGGTGAGGACCAAGGTGTTCAGGGTAAGGTGAAAACTAGAGCATTCTGGGTAAGGAGAGGATCAGGACATTCTCTTTAAGATAAAGACCAGGGCATTCTGGGTAAGATGAGGACAGAGCATTCTGGGAAAGATGAGGCCCCTGGCCTTCTAGGGAAACACCTGCTGTGGAAAAACAGAGAATTGGAAGTGTCATTTTCACAAGGACAGTATGAAGAAAGAAATAAAGAAAAAAATCCCAAACACATGAAAAGAGGTTGAAGCAGGCTCCATAACGTCCCAAGTGTAGATTAAAAGTAGGCAGCGGCAGCGTGTTTCCTCCCCAGCAGATTGGCACACATCCCAACGCACGGGAACACGCTGTGTTGGAGAAGCTGTGGGAAGCAAGGCCTCGCACGTCGCTGCTGGAAACACAAACCGATGCAAGCTCCATATGGACAGACTTGGCAACAGCCATCCGCTTACAGATGTACACACCTCTGACCCTCCACCCGCACCTGTGAGTTTCCTTCACCTGCAGCCCTGCACATATGCGGCGCGTGAACGAGAATGTTTAATTGCTGCGTTTTCTTGTAATAGCAAGTGATAGAGAAAGACCATATGCTCATCCATAAGAGACTGTTTGGGTAAAGTGCATTGAACCATTCCAGGGAATATGTAATGGCATGCTGCGTATCTAGAAAAAAAGGTGTGGGGGGGAGAGAGAAGATCGCAAACTGATGGAGAAAGAGAAGCAATTCAGAGTGGGACGTGGGTCGCAATACAGTTTAGACAGCAGGCAACTGTGTGTAAATAAAAGTAGAGGAATAAGAATGTATTTTGTGTTTGATCCTGTCTGCGTGAAGATACTCTACAACCTACAAAAAAAAATGAGTCAAAAGCTGTGACTGGCTTAGAATTAAAAGGAGTAGGCCGTATGCAGGTGTGAGTGTGTTATTCACTCGAGGGATTCATTTTAAGAACGACTTGTCTGTAAGTGGCAGGATGTGCTGATGCTCCTGAGGATGTGGGCTGCAATTGGCCATAGAAAGCTGTTTTGTGCTATGGTGTTCATGCTGTGGAGTTGGTCTCTAAGATTCTCCTTCTGGTCCCTGCTACCCACTGTTTACACAGGGGGCCATACCTCTTTTCATGGGGAGCTGCAATTAAATGCAGCAGAAGTGATGGGGTGGCCGGGCGTGGTGGCGCACGCCTTTAATCCCAGCACTTGGAAGGCAGAGCCAGGCGGATCTCTGTGAGTTCAAGGCCAGTCTGATCTACAGAGCAAGCTACAGGACAGGCTCCAAAACTACACAAAGAAACCCTGTCTCGAAAAAACCAACATCGCCGGCGGTGGTGGCGCACGCCTTTAATCCCAGCACTCGGGAGGCAGAGCCAGGCGGATCTCTGTGAGTTCGAGGCCAGCCTGGTCTACCAAGTGAGTTCCAGGAAAGGCGCAAAGCTACACAAAGAAACCCTGTCTCGAAGAAAAAAAAAAACCCACAAAAAACCAACATCAACAACAAAAAGAAGTGATGGGGTGTTGTTTCCATATTAGGGTATAAAAAGATGAGCCCTTAGGTAGCATTATGTATTTGATTGAGTACGCACCAAAATTCCTAAGTAGAAGCCCTAACCATAACTATATAACTCCTATCACTATTAGATGAAAATCAGGGAACCAAAGAGATGGCTCAGCCGTTAAGAGTACTTGTTGCTCCTTTAGAGGACCCAGGTTTGATAGCAAGCACATACTTGGTGGCTCAAAACCATCCATAACTCCAGTTCCAGGGGATCTCATTCCCTGTCCTGGCCTCCATGGGCACCAAGGTGCATATACACACATAGGTAAAACACTAATATGTATAAAATAAATCAGTCTAAAAGACAAAGATCTGAAAGAGACATCCAGACAACATTCTCGTTCTCTCCCTCCCTTCTCCATCTCTTCCTCTCTCTTTCCTTTGGCTTTTCCCCTCCTCTCTCTTTCTATTTCCCACTGTTTCTCCTCTGTGTGTGTGTCTCTCCTTTCTCTTCCTTTACCCCGTCTCCTCCCTTAACTCTCTCTACTCTCTCTCTTTCTCTATCCCTCTTCTCTGACTCTTTCTCCCCATGTCTGCCCATGCCCTCCCTCTCTCCCTACACCATGTAAAGAGACAAAAATACAACCATCCTAATTTTAGTAAGACACCCTAAACCAGACATACTCTGACCTTGGGGTTCTGGAACGTTACTGAAGCTACACAATCTAGGAGAGTTGTGAAGAAAGGGACACAGAATTTGCTCTCTTGCTCTCCTTCTCTAGAGGAAGTCAAGAGCCATGTCACAAAGCAACATTGTGGAGGCCCCTCTAGCAAGAAAGCAAGGTTGATCAGCAGCCACCTGTGTGACCCCAAAAACCACTGTCTCCACATAGGCATGGAAGTGACTGTAGGACCAGCAATCACAGTGGCAGCCTCATAAGTGACCCTGCGTCAAAATGTCTGAATAGGCCCCTAGTACTGGTTTCCAGCTGCTGTACCCAGGACATTGGTTACACAGCAAGAGGTAACCTACACATCTGTAGAACTGAATTCCCAAAGTTCAGTCTCCTGAAACCACAGACAGCTCCCACGGTCAGGAACCAAGCCTGGCTTTGTCTCTTACAAGGCCTTAGTCAAGGTATGTCTGTGTTGTCTGATGGCTTGGGGGCTGGAAGATGCTCATAGCTGCTGGAAGGCCTTTGATCCATCCAAATTGCAGGCAAGGGCCATCCTCCATCCACTGTCAAGTGAACCAATCCCTGAGGTCACCTGGGGTCCTCTCAATAGGACAGTGGACTTCTCTCAGAACAAATGACCCGAGAGATCACCTTGGTGTGGATTTGAGACTCTCACGCTGTCATTGTCATGATGACATATTGATGACACAGTTGGGGACAGTCTACACATCAGGGCACAGCTGGTGGAGTGGATACTGATACTGAGAGCCTTCGGTACCTTATTGGAGACTTCCTTGCAACATCTGTAACAGGCCGGAAGTTCAATACAGCCTTAGGGGCTGGAGAGATGGCTCAGAGGTTAAGAGCACTGGCTGCTCCTCCAGAGGTCCTAAGTTCAATTCCCAGCAACCACATGGTGGCTCACAACCATCTGTAATGAGATCTGGCGCCCTCTTCTGGCCTGTAGGGACACATGCAGGCAGAACACTGTATGCATAATAAATAAACAAATCTTTAAAAAAAAAAATACGGCCTTAGCCTAGGGGTGGGATGAGAGTAGGGAGAAAGGGTGATGGGGTACAGAGTGGGAATGAACACAGGTTCGCCCTTGAGCCTTGTGGGGTAGACACTGTCATCTGTCTCATATGCATCCCTTCCATCCTCTGTCTCTACACCGAACCTATAGATGGGGGTGGGAACATGAGTGACAGTGGACTTGGAATATCTGCCTGCATCTTCCAAGGTCTATATGTCTGTCTTTGCCAGCAAAGACAGCTCCGGCATATGTTGTGTTTCCGCGTCTGCATGGCAGGTCACAGAGTGCCAATAACTATTTATTAAGAATTTTCCTACTGCTGTGCTTTTAAGTTAGATCCAATTTTGTGCTATTAGTAATAATCATAGCCAATCTCGAAGCTTGACGACCACATGATTCCATATCTGTAACGGCCTTTAAAAATAAAACCCTTGAAATCTATACTAAAGGAGAGCAGGTGAGGAATACCAGAGGTAAGAAGCAGGGACAAAGGACAGTGCATGGAAATTTCTGAAATCCTGATCACAGCACAAGTTAGAATGTGTGTGGTATGTTCATAGAACTGTGTGTGTGTGTGTGTGTGTGTGTGTGTGTGTGTGTGTGTGTGTGTGTGTGTGGAGGTGGAGGCAGGGATGCATGTGTATGCAACACCCACAGAAGGCAGAAGAAGGTGTTGGATTCCCTGGAGCTGGAGTTACAGCCATTGTGAGTCATCAGACATAGATGCAGTGAACTGAACACAGGTCCTCTAGAAGAGCATAACTACTGAACCATGCCTCCAGCCCCATGAATGTAGGTGTAC